CTGGCAGAATTCCCTGTACACTCCAAGTCTGAATTGCTGCTGTTCATTGGATAGCTCCTGTATCTAAGGAGCCCGAGAGGGGATGCTGCCACTTGGAGACCTAGCTCACAGACGCTGTTCTCCAAGCGTGGGCTGTGCCTCTGCTTCCTGTGGTTGCTAAAGGTCACCCAGCAAAGCCTGAGTCTGGAATGTGGTTTGTTCTGGTAAAGGCTTGCTTCGCTGCTTCCTGATGTGTCGAAACAGAGGCCATTTACGTCCTGTTTGAATCGGTAAGATTGAAGCAGAATCTTGGGCCAGACCAGGCACATGCTGCCGTGAGCTTTTCGCATGGAAAATCCTTTCCTCTGGCTCTTTTTTTTTTCTGTTGTCTGAGTACAGTGGAGTCAGATTGACTTTGACCAGGGGTCCCAAACCCAGTCCTGGAGAGCCACAGTCATGCATGCGTTAAACTCTTTAAATCAGCTATACCCATATAGAGCTGGGGCGAGCTGGGGAGAGCTCTTAAACTGATCCAGTTAAGCCAGTAATTAATTGAGGAACATCAACGAGACTTGAGCGGGAATGAAAACTTGCTTGGCTGTGGACTTCAGGAACTGGGTTTAGGAATCTTTCCCATAAACCTTCAGAAAAATGTTTTTAGATTGTATGTAAAAAAACAGCTTACCTCCCGTGACTGTTGTACCATATGTAGTGTCAGGTTTCATGGGACGTCTTGCCTAGTTTTCCATCAGGGTACAGGAGATTATTAGGCCTTTTCTTATTTAGAAGAGTCCTTTTAAACTCCGGTAATTGTATTTTAATGGATTTCTATTTAGGTTATAGAAATGAGCTGTAGCAGTGATGCCATCTTGGAGGGAAAGGGCTGAAGACGATTTGCAATGAAGCCTCACTTGGCAGTTCAGTGAGGAAAGCAGGCAAGAGCTAATAGCCCATTGTAATCCTGGCTGAGGTTTCAGCCTACAGGAGTTCTTTAGATCAAATGAACAGCAGGCTCCATACGATATCATCTGGTGGTTTGATTCCCTTGTCAATCTATGTCAGCTATGTACAAGAAGTATGTAGTCATGGATCATTGTGATTTTGGAGACCTGTGTTGTTGGCTTAATCTGCTCTGATCCTTTAGTATTTGAAACGGTTTAATTATGGGAACTTTGCTCTGTGACAAATTGGTACGTTTGTGTTTTTTCTGAAGCATTACCCAGTTTTCTTTTCATGTAACACTTACGCATGGTTCTGAACTCTTGTACATGGTTATATGAAGACTCACCTGATTAATAGGATGTAAATTATGCTTAAACTGTGGAATTTCATAGGACAGTGTAGAGTAGTGACTGGGGCTCTGATACCTGATTGGACCTGACCTGGCTCTCTGGTGAGACACTGCTGTTGTGCCCTTGAGCAAGGTACAGTACTTTACCAAGGTCCACTTCAGCAGATCCATCTGCAAATATGTAAAAAAAACTAAGCTATTGTAACCCATTTAAATCAATTTTCATGGAAGTATTGAATAAGATAATATTCTCTATTTTCGGTTGCATTCTGCAAGTGTGCAGTCAAGTTTTGTGTTTCTCTCAGTTAGATCTTCTTGGCATGTGACTTTTCCATTCCGTTGCAGTTCCTTTATGCTGCCATCTTCTTATCAGACCTGAAACATTGCCACTGAATTGCTTGGAGAGGCTACAGTTTGAGCCCTGCTCCAAATCGTGTGTCAGGTGAAACAGAATAAATATCTCACTGAACTGATACTTTAAGTTCTCAGTAGTGTGCAAGTTCACCCTGGAGTGTTGGATATTGCGATAGATCTCCTTGCAGGTCCTCCTGCTGCCTTTGACACTTAAGTGTCAGAATAACTTTTCTGTAGGTTGCAGACTTCCAGTACTATGGAAGTTTCTTTACATATTCATAACAGAACTCCCATTCTGAGAACTGTTTTTTGTCACTGTATGCTTCCATGTTGATTAAGCGCTGGATTTTTGGGATACCAGTTAAGAAAGATGGAATTTCCCAGCTCTTACGTTTCTTGAAGGAAGAATCTCTTGCGTTTCTTTTTTTCTACTCTTTGTTTCTACCCTCACACACAGCAGAGTTTTGAATGTTTCTGAAGGATAGCTGAATAACAAAACCCCTGTTTGCCCGTGCCAATGGATCAGAATTGCTTGTTGACACTTCAGAAAGAAGGCCAGTTCAGATTTGCTATTCTTCATAAAGGGAAGAATAATTGTTGTTGTCTGTTAATATTTTTTTATTGTAAGATGACATTAATTATTCTCTCTCTATAGGAATCAATACATACCTAAATTACAAGTCAGGTTGCCTATCTATGTTACAAGGAGTTTGAGTGCTACAGTAATTGGATTATTTTGAGCTGACAGTGCCCTGTTCACTTATCTACTGCTGCAGATATGCGGACACATGTTTATAGGCTGTTAAATGTAATGTGATTGCGTGACACAGTAGTCACACAGGGATTATCTAGTTTACCCAAAATCACAATAAAAACCTGTGTGCTCTAAATCTTGCACCCCGAGAACTAGACTGCCTTGCTCCCTACATGGCTCAGTGTTCTCAGGCTGCCTTTTAAATTCTCCAAGAATCTTTTAAGGCACTATGCTTCATTTTGTGCTCATGATTTAGGTGTGTGTATTAAGTATGTTTTGTAGAATAAAACTCTATTCCACAAATGTCATTATTTTATCCCCACACAGGTTTTACTTATTCTGTTCATTGTCTTTGATGTAAGGGGAGCGATTACTGTAGGTGTTTGTGCTGTAACTGCACTGCTGTAATAGCTGGAAGCTGTTGTCTTGCTTTGTGGATAATTGATCTATCTAATCTCCTAAGAGTTAGACACACCAGGTGCTGCTTTGTCATCTTTTCTTATGTTCTTATCCTATACTGTTGTCTTTAAAACTGATTGTCAGTATTTTTTCACTGTGAATTGTGTTGAATTGGCCTGTGACCAGGAGTTCCAGTTTTCAGACATTTTTTTCCAGCATTGGGTGATTTTTCTTTCATAGAATAGAACAAAATTGGGTCACATTATCTGAAACAGATAATTAATTGCATATGCTTCAGAAAATAGGAACTTTATTCCTTGCTGTATTATTCCACAGAAAAGAAGAGATTATCTGTCACGTACAAAATCCTTTATGCTCGGAACTCAGCTCATGTATTACCTAGGGAGAAAAGTGAACATCTGATACTGTAGTTATGTATAACTGTAACTGTGGAGAGTGAAAAGAAGTATAAAAGTAAAGTTCACCTTTTCTAGTAAACTATACCTTTAGCTAGTCTGTTTTGTTTTTGCAGGTACGCTGTTTAGATTTCAGGCAGTGGACTTGAACAGGCAGGCATTGTGCTTTCAAAACAGGGCTATCCTAAGGAAATGCAGTGTTGTTATTGTGAGAACTCCATTACTTGTTAAATTCATTCTTCATGTATAGGCATATTATTGAAAACCGCCTGCTGAAAGCCTGTGTAGATAACCACACACCTGGCCCTCTTAGTGTGTTTACTTCCTGTCCCTTGCATTGGCTCTTTTTGTCCGAGTTACATTGGAATCGCACACAGCTGTCCCCTGTTCCAGGTGTGTTCAGGTGGAGCCCCAGTGTACAGGTAAACAATGGTGAAGAATGAATTGGGTCAAAGCTGAAAGGCTGTGAGAGATTTCTACATGGTGTTACTTCAGCTGTTTTCTCAGTCTTTTTGTTACTTGGCGGGTGACTTGTTCTGCGGTGTCACGGAAAGGGGTGAGATTTGTGGCGCACGGTGCAAGGCTGAGTGTTTTGAAGTCCTCTTTCATTATTTTAAGGCCTTTCATTGCACCATGTAATTTTCGTACACTCTTGTTTGTCCAATTTTATGTTCCTTACAAGTCCAATCTTGTCGTCTACCATAAAGTGATCCAGCACAGCCGTAACGAACAGTAGCTGTACTGGAATCCTTTGCGAGTGCTAAAAGTTTGATTTGAAATTTTCCAAGCACCTTTTAGTAAAGGGGGCTTTCATGGCTTAAACATTCAGGCCGTGGACCTGTCAAGCAGGCAGCTGATAAATTGTGCTAGGTGTGCCTTAATGTGTGTTGGTTGGAATAATTGCCAAACAGTTATTGGTTCAGGACCCATTTACAGTATATGCCTTAGGTTAGATTTATTACTCCACTAACATGTAGTCAATTTAAAGGGATTTGCATGGTGTAAGTGTGGCAGGGGAGGTATTCTGTTTAAGTTCTTAAACAGTAAACAGATTAGCTTTAATATTAAAGATCTCTGCATCAGATCATGCTGATAGTCCACATTGCTGATATGTGTTTGAGGAGGATTGGTTATGTTTCAGTGGTACGGTTTCATTCATATACCGTATGTTCTGTGCACCAAAAGAAAAATACCCAAAATGTTCAGGGTTGCAGGTCTTTCAGTACTTCCTATGGAATGCTCTGGTGTAGCCTCCTGCCCCTAATGTTCGTTTCTCTGTGAAGCCAGGAAAAGCACCTTGTCAGGCCTGAACTGGCACAGTAATACAGTACATCCCAGCACATCAGCTGGGAGCAGATCCATAAGTTCATTTTTAGCCCTGGCCTTGTGTCCCTGTAAGTCTGCCTGGCAACACTTCACTGTATCGTGCCGCCCTGCTGCAGAATTTGGGCTGTTGTACTGAGAGCTACTAAATAGTCTGCCGTATACAGGGCTAATCCTGTAAGCTAGCATCTTTTTTACTTTACTTTCTTTGTGTAAAATCATGTGTATTGCTTGATCCTAAATGCTTCCAGCACTCGCTTTAAGAGTCTTAGCTCCTCTCACTTCCACTGAATCAGTGTAATTAAACTATCCACAGCCGGACCTGTAGTTAAGTCTAGTAATCTGCAGGGGAGCGCTGTTCTTGATAACTCAACACTTCCAAGTGAAAGGTTTCTATGGATGCTTCTATTCCCCAGTCATTTATTTGTCCAGTTATTATCCATGGTTGTAACGAGTTTTGTATTTTTTCATTCTTGTGACTCAGGTTTTGGTATCCTGATCAATGGAGAAGGTGGGAAAGATGTGGAGCAACCTGAAGAACAGATGTCAGAACCTGTTCCTTCCGGATGGCTTGAGCCGGAGCGAGAGCATGGAGATGAGCTCGGGTAGGTGTGGCACAGATCCCAGCCCCTCTGATCCCGCCCCCCCGAGAGCGGCCAGCCCCCCGCGGGGCATCACCCCCCTGCCCCTCGTCTCGGAGGGGTTGCAGGCCGCGGCGCGGAGAAGCCACAACTGCGTCTCTGACATCCCTCAGATCGTGGAGATCACGATCGACAAAGAGAGCGAGGACCCTCGAGCGGCAGGAGGTGCCCGGCTGGCCCGGAGAGACTCGTATTCCCGGCATGCCCCCTGGGGGGGCAAAAAGAAGCATTCGTGCTCCACCAAGACCCAGAGCTCCCTGGAGACGGACAAGCGTTTCGGCCGGGCCCGGGGCGGGCTGCAGAGGCGGGAGCGGCGGTATGGCGTGAGTTCCATTCACGATATGGACTCCTCCACCGGCCGCAGCCTGAGCGCGCACTCCCTGCGGCAGCGGCTCCACGACACGGTGGGCCTGTGCTTCCCCCTGCGTTCGCACTCTCGCTCCTCCAAGGCACTCTTCTCCACCAAGCGCAAGATCCACCTGTCCGAGCTGATGCTGGAGAAGTGCCCCTTCCCGGCAGGCTCGGACCTGGCTCAGAAGTGGCACCTTATCAAGCAGCACACGGCGCCGGTCAGCCCCCAGTCCTCCACCGCCATGCTGGATGCGTTCGATCCCGCCTTTCTCTCCCCGGAGGATGAAGAGGACCGGCTGCGGGAGAGACGGCGGCTCAGCATCGAGGAAGGGGTTGACCCGCCGCCCAACGCCCAGATCCACACCTTTGAAGCCACAGCTCAGGTGAACTCTCTCTACAAGCTGGGACCAAAGCTCGCCCCAGGGATGGGCGAGGGCGCCGGGGACGGCCGGCTCGGAGCAGGAGGGGGCGCCGGAGGGTCAGGAACAGGGGGAGCTGCGGCCCTGGCGACGGCAGCCCCGGCGGCCGCGGCCGCTCCCCTGCAGGTGGACTGCGACTCGGAGGAGGACTCGACCACACTCTGCCTGCAGTCGCGCAGGCCCAAGCAGCGGCACATGTCCGGGGAAATCCATTTCAGCCGGCAGGGGCCCTGGAAAGTGCACACACAGATCGATTACATCCACTGCCTGGTGCCAGACCTCCTGCAGATCACCAGCAATCCCTGCTACTGGGGGGTGATGGACCGCTACGAGGCAGAGGCTTTGCTGGAGGGCAAGCCCGAGGGCACTTTCCTGCTCAGGGACTCTGCCCAGGAGGACTACCTCTTTTCCGTCAGCTTCCGCCGCTACAACCGCTCGCTGCACGCGCGCATCGAGCAGTGGAACCACAACTTCAGCTTCGACGCACACGACCCCTGCGTTTTCCACTCCTCTACCGTCACTGGCCTGCTGGAGCATTACAAGGACCCCAGCTCCTGCATGTTCTTCGAGCCTCTGCTCACCGTGCCCCTCAACAGAACTTTCCCCTTCAGCCTGCAGCACATCTGCCGGGCTGCCATATGCCGCTGCACCACCTACGACGGCATAGGGCTGCTGCCCCTGCCCTCCATGCTGCAGGACTTCTTGAAGGAATATCACTACAAGCAGAAGGTTCGGGTGAGGTGGCTGGAGCGGGAGCCGGTTAAGATCAAATAAGAACCGGAACAGGAAAGACTGGGGGTTGGAAACGACGACGACAACAAACAACAAAACGAAAAAGTGTCCAAACCCTTTCCGTACTGTCTTTTCAATGTGGGGGTTGAGGTGGCGCTGGCGAAATACTAAAGTACATTATAAGCTCTTATTTTTAGTTATCACCTACATCACATTTAGTACGCCCGCTGGCAAGCACATGTTTTCCCGTCAAGCTTTATTGTAAAAGTAACAAATTGTAGCAGTTCAGTTTTGGCAATTGCTGTTTCAGCTGCTTCCTGCTAGGTGACAAAAGCGTTGCAAAGCCTGTATTGGAATACAGGCCTAAGCCCTAAAGTGAAGTCTGCATGCACCATCCTAAAGCTTGAACTCAAGCTAACTTTCACTAAGTTGTACTGTTTCCTTGTGCTTTTTTCCTTTCTCTTAAAGCAACTATGGGGTTCTGTATTGTATGATTGAAAATGCAGTATTTATCTCAAAGGGCAGTCAAATCTGCTGGCTCATAGGACATAAATGCTTAGGGAATATATTTATCACTATTCTGTATTGTAAAAAATACACATAATGCTGTACTTGTCTGTAAAGGCATTAGCCCTGTTTGAAAACTCTCAAGTTCAGATGTGAAACGCATTCTCCACACTTTATTCAGTGGGTATGTGTCCAGACTAAGTGTCTGGTGGAGGCAATCGTGGAGAGAAAGTGTAATTCCAGCCGGTGAGTGCTCGCTGTGTATGTCTGCACCTCTCATTGAAGAAAGTTTACTACGCATAAATGTACCGAGCCCTCACACATTTCGTCTCTTCCAGGAAATGCAGTTTGTGCCCACGGTTCAATGTTTAACACATTACACCATGACAGGTGCCTGTGCGAGACACATTTGTACACACCGACTTTTTAAATTAATTTAAATTGACGCATGTTAACTAGCACTTTTGCACACGGAGTGCAGTTTTTTTAGCGAGATCTCTGGGTTCCTCCATAGACTTGAGTTTGTGGAGAGGACTGTTTTTGCAGTGGTGCACACGGCTATGGATGCAGCACAAAGCACAAGCAATGTTATCTATAAGGGACCACCCGTTGCTAGGATGAGCTGCTGACAAAGTATGTGCACTGACGACAGTTTCCCTCAGGCATGCTTTTCTATGCATCCTCTATTCTTTCACCCTAGTGGATTACAGATGTGCTCTTAATACCAGAACAGCAAGATTCACCAGGTTCTAGATCCCAGAATGAAGGAATAGAGGCAAAAGTTTTGTTTTAGGGCACTTAATTCAGTTTTCTTGCACTTTTCAATATCAAAAAGATGACTTACCTTCAGATTGAGGTCTTGTTTTCCCCAGAGATTCTTTTCGTCATGCTGGACATGATATTTATTTTAAGTTAGCCTAGATAATCCTTGTGACCTAATAGTCAACCTATTGCTTTGCAACACGAACAGAAACTCTCTTATTACCTTTTGTATTTTACATATTTTATTACACAATGATGCATTGTGTGAGCCCTAAGTTTATGTTTTTTGTCTTATTAGGTTAAGACTCATGTGACAAATCAGATCTCCATAGTTGCTTAGTGCACTGCTTATTGTAATACAGTACATTCAATACACTTACAGTAAGAATTGTCTTGCCAGACTCTATAGAACTTGTGTTCAACACTAACCCTCTCCAGTATCCAGCATAATGTCATAGCTTGCATAAAAAAGATGACAAACGATGTGCCTTGATAATGGCTTTTATTTTACTTCCTTTGATGCGGAATAATTGCTAAATAATGCTTTACTGGGTATATATAAACTTTGTTTTTGCAAATGGAGCAGAACATATTTTGAGATATAATGAATTCTATCTTATGCACCCTGAACATACCTGTTTAAGGGAACAGTGATGAAGATGATGCATATAAAAAGCCAGAATATTAAAGTACTGTGCTTGCTCTTAGGATTTGGTGCATGTTTTGTTACAGTATTGAGGATGTTGATGTGGTTCTGATCTTGGGTTTTTCAGTGATCAGAGAACCTGAAAAAGAATTACATAATGATTTGGTAGGTAATGCCATGAGACAAAGGCATTGAATAGGCTATACTTACAAATTTCACATTGAAAAATACTGAAATATTTTTGAACAAGGCCAATATTAAAGAAACATTTGCTATTTCTTTTAATACATTTGCGTCTCATGCAGGAAATGTTTTTCTTTGACAGTAGTAAAACAGGGAATTCCACACCAATCTTTTAATTCAGATAAAGTTGGTCTCCAAATTCTTTACAGAGAAATTTATTCCAACACTAATCAACATTTCATTTAATTGGCACTCCATGTAAAAAGAAAAGAATATGTACTGTATGTTTTCAATCTCAATGATACTTTTTTATGATTAAATAACCTGTTACAGAAAAGGTATTTACTCCATTCTTTTTGGTATAAGAAGGCCTAGCTAATATTCACGGTTTAAAGTACTAATTCATGAAAATGTAATTTTTATACAAATTCAGGATAAGGGCAGATTAGTGTTTCTCCAAGTGATAGGTTGTATTTTAGAAGTTGCCCTATGTTTTTTATGGAACATATAGATTTACATAAATTATTTTAATATTGGATGATATTTTTGGGAAATTGAAGCATAAGAGGTCAATGTCAGAAACAAATGCCCAAAACAAGTAACATGCACCTTTTTCCACAAACACATTAAGGCTTTTTGGGGTGATTTAATAAACATGAGATATTAGGGTCTGTTTGCACATCATTTTTTTTCTAGTCTGAAAGTCTGAATTAAGTTTTTCCAATTTAAAGGAATCAATAGGACTCTGGGTTTTAAGTAACCTCAACGATGCTCTGTTTATTGAAGATTTTAACTGTAGTCTGTTTTTAGAGAGAGCAATACACATTTTACATATGCATGTTTTGAAGTGACCAAAGCCTGTGGTTTTCAAAATTTTGCAAAACATATTAAAAGCTTGCCTCTAGAAGATTGTGGACTATCATACTGTATGTTCTTCATGAACAGATTTGGCAGGCAAGTATGTGGGAGGTTCTCTTTTTCTGGTTTAACGTTTCAAAATGAAAAGGACTTCACTGGTGACTAGCGGTAAGGATCCAGACCTGTGTGGAGGAAGAGTGAAGTGTTGTGCACTATTTAAACCCTTACTGTCCTTTCATCTACCCAGAAGTGCCTATTTTGTGAAAACCCTAGATTCTTCACTCAACATCCTCTTTGCAAATTGCTAGTGTAGTGTTGATTTACAACACTACTATTTGTGCAATAAAGTTGGCCTACTAAGTAAAGAGACACTAATCATTCAAAGCTTCTCAAAAATGTTAAATCTGTAGAAAAGAGTTCTATTATAACAAAACTTGCTTTGGGGCATTTGTGTTTTTCACAGGGTGACTCAATAAGAGGGGGAGACAGAGGAGAGTTTAGAAAGGGACATTTCAATAAAACACTGTGAAAAAATCAAGAAACTAAAGTCCCTAATGTTTGCAATGCAGTGTTTTAACTGTGGCTCCTTAGTGCTTTCCTCTCAAACCCTTAGTCTAGCCCATGTAGTCGCACCTTGAAATATTTTCTTTTCTCTTGTTTGGGTCACCCTGTAAATATGCCAGTTATTCATGTATGTTTTTTTTGTTCTTGCAAACAGCTGGAATATAATGCATATGAAATCTATAGTGTTTATTTGTATCTACACATGCTTACGTTGTTTAAAGCTTTTCATATTATCCTCACCAGCATGGATGTGAAGTTGTACACAAATATATGTTGTTTCCCCCTTCTGTATTCCCCAGGGCTTTCCAAAATTCAGGTTCATTGCTTCACAGCCAATGGGCTGTTGAACTGTGGTTCATGGGCTGGTTTGGAATAACGTTTCTGTCAGGGTTATGGTAGACTTGCCTCTGGAGTATAGCAGCTACACCTTCATTAATAACTGCCTGAGGTACCACCAGAGAAAGTGTAACATTGTGACCAGGAGCCTGTCTGATTACGTCCATGCTGTAGTAATTAGAAGTCTAAATATAAGTTTGTTTAAACTTAGCTTTTGCTAAAAAAGCCTTTCCTGAGTTTTTATTTACTGTGCTGGTTTGGGTGTACAGAAGGGTTATTCTGTTTCTGTTTGCTCTCATGCTCTATGTCCTGTTGATTTTCTGATGGCTTTGGGTCTCTTTTTGTTGTTTCGCTACAGAATAAAAGGCGCATCGGTAATGAAGCCAGAAGTACTAATCTATATTAAGAATTTGTGCAATAATGAGCCCACAACGCAGTCTGCTGTTGACAACTATATAATTTTAGTTTTTACATTAAGTGGGGTGATTTTAAATTAAAAATTTGGTTCAGTGAAACCTTAGCTTATTAGAAAATGAATGCTAAAATAACCATGTCAGCTAACAGATGGTGACTCTAAGAAAAAATGAAAATGTAACTAATTATTTTGGACTGCAGCAAGCCACGATCATTAACATTTGAACTTTGCTGCCTTGGCTGTAGTCCATGTCTAAGATCATTATCATTAGTATGAAATGAAAGCTTTTGTGTGCAGAAATCTTGCTTATAGACTCCAGGTTTAAAAGTCCTTATCCTGTTAGTGTTTGAAAACAAATGAGAAGGAGAGCTTCTATCGCATTAGTTTGAACATACAGGTAAAATGGAAATTGCAGTAGTTTTCCTTAACTTGCAGTACTGATTATAATCATAAAAAAATTAGAAACACTTTCTTTTTATTAATTTCTTGTGGACAGCATCCAGTCATTTGGACACTTTTTATGGCACATCCATTCCAGTGTGAGTAATTTTGTACACTGACAAAGCCAAGGAGTACAGTAATTCTGACCAGCTCATTTTCTTCTTGTGTTACCTCCCGGTGATCGAACATTGCTAGTTTCAAAGCGGTTAGGTGATTCTTTCAGAAAGGAGGAAGCTGAAACAGTTGGTGAAACTGAATTCACAGTGCTTAATTGTGAGTCACTGCATACAAATAAGATTCATCCTGAAATGATTCACATCTTTTCATGGCATTACTTTAAGGGTCCCGCAAGAATGGGTTCCCAAACGCATTAAGTAACAGTATTCCTGGAAATTTAGGTTCAGTATGCACAAAGTAAAATGATCTCTAGAATTTGTTAAGAGTCTCAAAGGGTCTGACAATGCATAACATAGCTCTGAGTCCACATGGAAAAGTGCATGATCTGCTCAAAAAGGAGAATGTGTACTTTTTAGATTTGGCTGTATTGTAGACACAGTTATGAAATGATATGTTGGCTATAAATATGCCAGCTAATTTCATGGAGCACAAATAAGAGATAGAAATGTTTGTTTTTGTTAATGCAAAGTAAAAGGATAGTGTTGTCTTTAGAGGCTGCCCTAGGGATTTTTCACTTATGTTCTTTAGTTTGTTATTTAGCTCTCCAAGAGGGAAGATCAAAGTAATTTCCACTTAAATATTAAGTTACCTGTTCTGTTCAGAATGCAAATTTTAACAACAGTAGCTTTAGTCATGTTTGAGACCATCTACAAAATATTCAAATCAATTCAGTTATTCTTTATTTTGTATCAATTTCCAATTGAAAATTCGAATGATAAAGAATAACAGCATCATGAAAAGAGAACTGAGCAACATGATTATTTAAGATTTTGGAAGAGATGTTAAACCATCTCTTCCAAAATCTAAAGATTCAACTTTGTATGGGTAAGGTTGATAATGCTGGCGTCCTGGATAAATTCCACTCTGATCTTGCACAAACTGGCCTCTCCAAAGTTTTCCCCCCAGTGCAATTGATGATGCGGTTTCTCACTTATTGAACTGATCTGGTGTGTAGTGGGACTGTTGATAGTAATGACTGCCCTGTGTCGTAGGTAGGTAGCTACTGCTCTTCAGTGGTGAATGAAGTGGGTCCACTCTTATATGTGAAGCACTTTGGGATCCTTTAGGATGAAAATTGGAATAGAAATGCAATTAATTGTTATTATTAAAAGAATGAATGAATGCATTTAACACCAATTATGTCTGAAAGCAGAAGTCGAAGACAACATATTTGTCATTTATTTCAGGTAAAGGGTTGGTTTTCTTTGACTTGTTAAGTGTGCTTAATTAGTAAGGTTTAATGATGCAATATGTAAATAGAAATTGCAGAATATAGTTCAGGTTTCTTGTTCCTGCTCCCTGATATGCAGTTGAGTGTAATATAACCACGGTTAAAGTTTTTGGTCACTAAATGCTATGTATGCACCTTCACTGGTGTCATTCGCCACGATGGCCATGGCAACAGGATTTAACAATGATGGGACTAACGAACCGGGCATTTTTCAAGCATGAGCATCTTTAAGGCCTTACTTTGCGTGATGCAACAAGACTTCCTGCTCTGAAGTTCCATCTGCAGCCCTGGGCTTCTCAATACTCTGTGGAGCGATCTAGCACTCAAATCTGTTTTTACACTGCCTCCGGTTTAAAAGGACTAAAAACGTTTTCCCTTTTTGCAGGTGTATTGTGCTCTTATCCACGTTTCTGTTCCCTCTATGCTCTTCTGTATTGTGTCCAACTACAGTATATGCTAGTTCTGAGTAGATGCAGTTTTGCGTTACAATTTATCTTCACTGCAGAGATGTATGGTGCAACACCGCTGTCGCTCTTGGTGCTTTGCCTTGCGCTGCGTTGTCTTAATATTCCAAATAAAACCATTCTGTGTAACCTCTAGTGGCTTCATTTTCACATGATTTACAAAAAGCACCCAACACTTTTAAAACTGACATGGTAGTAAGATGCAAGTTCTAATACCCATTTCCCTGTACTCTATTTCTCTTCATTATATGTCCTAAGCAAAGTCTTTGTTTTCAAGGACATCTTGATCCACACATTAATATCTTTGTGATACCCTTAGTGTGTACTGAGTTTATTCTGCCTGTTTTTCTTCTTTGTCTGCAAACCGTAACATTCAGTTGTCCCTAACACTTAAAGGGCTCCTTCAAATAAGTCTTCATCCAGGACAAACCAAATGACACTGTGTTCAGCTTAGATTGTTGCTATATTAAGTGGAATGTTACTTAAGGATCAACCTAACTAAAGGGTTGGCCTTTCGTTATTAAAAAGCTGAATGAGCTGGCTTCCTTTCCAGAGCTTTTAAAATATCATCGACTATGTAATTCATGAGTATCTGCTGCAATTGGATATAGGTTGAAATTAGCTATTACCTTTTTATGAATTTTATCTTATTGTAATTAGCAATACAGACAGAATCATATTCTAAAATTTCATATTTCATATTCTAAAATGGAATCTATGATTCTAGTGTGTACAGGTGTTATTAAACAGTAAATCTATTTGTAGTTTAGTTATTGTAGTGATCTGCCAGGCATATTAATGTCAGATGGGGCTCTGGAAGGTGAGAACTGCAGCTGTGTTACGATAGCCTCTGTGGGAAACTGGAACATGCCCAGTGGACATGTCGTGTTTTAAAATGACAGCCCGTCAGTGCTGTGAGCCTGGAGACTGGCCTGCTAATCTCAGCCCTTTTCACAGAACTAGAGAGGCTCTGATGGTAGGACTGGAGCCAGAGATTCATGCTGCTCCCAGACTGCACAAGAGCCTGGGACTCTGACTTTAGCTTTTATTCTTTCGAAATCAAGTGTTAACAGTAAACAGGTTATCCGTTTCATGGTCACCAGGCCTTCCAATCAATTGAAGGCAGCCGGAGAACGAGCCTGTGAAAGCTGGAAAGATGCTTGCAGGTCTCACTCAGAACAGTGTCTTAAGCATTTCTCTTGAAATGTGGGACAGTGGTGGATTTCATGAGAGGTGTAGGATACTCAGGTGCGTCATCTAGGAATCGCAGCTGTTTAATCAAACAGTCATTGACCTGGTGGAGCTCTGATGTTGCAGAAGCACATTAAAAAGGCACTGAAGATTCATGCTAGTTCAGTATATTTTGGGGATGGATTTCCTTTTTGTAGTTTAGAAAAAATAGAGTTGAGGGCTGCTAATTACAGGCAGATGTGCAAATCAGAGCTCAATCCTCCTTCTCAAGAAGGAGGTTTTGATGATGGATGCCTGGACCACAGGCTGGGGCACAACGTGGAACAGGAGAAGGATCAGGGAGAAATGGAATGCCCTCTGGCCAATATGCCCACATTGATGGGCTGGAAGTAGAGGCAGTACAGTTGGGATTTAGAATCATGTCCTGTATAACACAGACATACCTAACTTGACTGGGTTTACATGGATGGTGTTTAGATATCGTCATTTTTATATCATTATATCATTCCAGGAGTGCTCCCTGCCATTCTTTGTTACAATTTTCTTTTGCCTTTACTCTGTCTACTAGTTTTTAACATGACCAGTATTGTGTGTCCCATTATACACTTTAATAATCTGCCTCACCATATCCCTAGTGGACATGTAAAAAAAGGAACACATGTAAATACAGTAAACATTCTAGAAGCCTACATGTTACAAAGTGTAAAAAAATCACATTACAGTACCTGAAACCAAGACAGCTGGCCAGGTTTTCTCTTGGAAAAAGCCAAACAGAAGGGACTTTTAAAGTCTTATTTTCATTTTTTACACTATGTATTCACATTTGAGTTACCTCTATCACATCATAAAACTAAACCCATTGACATTTGGTCATTTTCACTATGTTGTACCAAAGTTAACTGTGGGAACTAATAATGCTCCCAGTCAGGTGTTCATGGAGCTGCGGTTTAACTTCATGTTCAGGACTGCTGCTGCAAGGGAAGAGGACTGAGAAGTGTTGCTTTGTGTCAGTGAGCTGTTGTTTCCTACTTAAATGTTTTCGAAGGAGAAGCCACCGGAGCTGTTTCAGGCTCAAGCAGGCAGAGTGGCACACCGCAAGAAGAGCGAGTTATGTCCGTGGAGTACCGAGGAACGGACGCCACAGAAATGCAAACACTCTTTTGGAAACAAAAAGAGTGTCGGCGCGGGGACACACAGGCTCAGAACAAAAAAAGAGCAAATACGGATCCTTTTAATAACCTCTGACAGAGTGAGAGGGATATTTGAGTCTGCAAGCCAAGGAAGCTTCAGCACAGAGGAAAAAAGAGCTGTTCCATAAAATGCAAAGACCCCTTAAACCGAGTAGCGAGTTCAGTTGTCGTACATTTTTTTGCTTGCGTTGCAAACACTGATTAGGCTGCTTTATCTGAGGTAGACCAGCTGAGCATTAATGACTAGCCATATCTACAGACAGCTGTTCATTTCTTATCAAGGTATTGACTTAATTGTGTTGAAATGAGGGTGGAATGACCTACTGGAGTGCACCAGAGACGAGGGAATACATATATTCCATCAGCAAGCTATAGAATGACTCTTTCCACAGAGGTCTATCCTCTACAGTTTTGTGTGTCTTATTCATTTATCAATATTTGTGATGTTTAAAGCTCAGGTTGAATACGCATTAGCTTATCTGACCCTGTATCTGACAATGCATACAAACTTAAAAAAAGCTCAAATGTGACTTATGTCCTGTGCGGACCTTGGTGTGTATATTAGATGTACAATATGTGTTTTTACCTGCATTTAATGTCAGATTAGGGGTCTCAGACACAATTTCTGGAGCGCCTAGTGCTTTCTGGTTGTTCTTCCATCTGAAAACTTAGTTACATAGTTGGTCTGATTAACAGTAGCTGTTTCATCATAATATGTCTAACGAGCCTCCAAGTTTTATCAGTAACTTTAATGTTGTTTTGAAATAATAAGCTGTAACAAACCTAGGAAAAATCCAGTTTATGTCTAGCTAGGGGAATTAATTCACTTTTTAAAAAGTACCTGAGACAATAAATTCCTGCAGGCAAAGAGTTATTGTGAGAGCTCTACTTTTGACAGAACAAAGTACATGCAAAGTATCTGTAAAATACTCTTTTTCCGTGACAATTTCCCTAGGTTTATGAGGAATGTTTGATTTTGCAGGAGTTAATATTATTTACATAACAAAATATTGGTAAATGATTAAAAACATTGAATGTCAAAACTCCTTCACGGAGCCATGGCATAACATTCATGCTAGTTTGGCTGTTGTTCCAAAAGACATTATGGATATATTCATATTAGTAGTATAGATTAAGATGTATAAATAAGGGTCTAACTGACATTCTGTTAATGATCAATTTAGTGTGACTTAATGTTCTTCAAAATGTTAACAAACCACAGATACACAGTACAGTTCTTAACAGCCCTAGTCTCACCTTCTCACTACTGAATGTCTATGGATGCTTTATTATCATTCTATACAGCCTCAATTGAAAGTAAATTGATTAATAATACAATATATCTATTAACTTTTCATGTATAAATAATTTAAAGCATTACCATATTTCATATTTTTCCAACACATAACAACACACAACCAAAGGGTTGCACATTGTAAAGACACTACAACAATGTCAAAGCTCTGTGAAAATGAGGGAGCATGGTTTGGGAGGTTTGGGAAAGTCATGTAATATCACATGTCAGGACCTCCACAGGGACTAACCTCTGTATAGCAGCAGCCAGGGCTGGAAACACAAACTGGTATCACAGAAGACCCTTAAACCTGGTGGTGATATCTGAAATGCCTCTATAATGGTAATGCCATGAGTCAACATTAACACTCTGCACAACCCCTGTTGTCATGGATGATAATATTGGGAAAGGGTGGTGATTTCTGATGAATATATACAAGTTTGTGTATTGTGTAACTTGTGTAACTCTATGTTAGTCTTGTGTTCAAGGACTAGCACAGTTTTGGTGGTGGTAGCAGAATAGCAGGAGCTCGCTTGCTGTTGTCAATGGTTATCTCACTACATGGCATTATGGCGAAATCCTTTAGAGCCCATTGTTCAGTTGTTAAGTGGGTGCCCTACTGTATTTTAACTATATCAAAAGTCATCAAAATACGATTTTCCAATAGCTGTTATATCAAATGGTGAAACACTGTTGCTTCAGTTTTAGTATAAATGTTTTTCTTGAATCTGAACTTGTATTTAAATGTTATTTACTTGCATGTACGCTTTGTTATAAGTATTTTATTAGACATTAATAAATAAATGAATAAATAATATCTAATTTTGAAAACTCCAGTCTCCATAGCAACGGCGCAGTTCCAAGGTTCCAATAGGCTTGTGTTCACGAGATAAGTTCAAAGCAGTATATTTGTAGACAGGACAAGCTCAGTTCACACGGCCTTGTCTGGTGTAGTGTCTGAGTACCACTCCACTGAAATAGTGTACAGTGATGACCTGACTAAACACAGAATATCATACTTCTCCCTATCTCTCTAACTTACAGTAACTTCATCCTCTTCGCTGTTTCACTGTCACTCCTTTGGTTCTCTTAATCCCCACCCTCTTTCTCCCCTGTCATTCTCTCTCGGATGCCTCTCCCCCTCCTTCTGTCTTTCTAGAACTCTCTGAATGTCTTGGTACCCCCCTCATGGCAAGAATGAGACAGAATCTCCTTTGGTCAGCCTCCTGTCCTTTTTATGAGGTGGCTTCTTTCATTGTCCAGTGTTACAGGAGCCTTTTCCAACAGTCCGATTAGATGTCTCACGTGAATTTTATCATTGTTGTGCACTTTCAAAATAGAGAGATGGTTTTGCGTCTCTTACACACAATTAATAGTTCTTCAAACCAAAATAGCTTTGCATGTTCCCCTGAGATTTCTTGTAAGCCTCTTGAGTCCTGCATAGTGTTCTTTGGTGATAC